TTTGGAAGTCGAGGAAGGCTTGCAAACTCAACATGCTTACCAGATGCAAGCATCTTCCTCCTCACAAATTCTGGCATCATTGAGTAGGGCTCAGTGAAAACAAGACAGACATTATCTTCTCATGTGGTTGGTCCTGGTGAGTACAGGACATAAGCAACTGTTTACAGCGTCCCCGAGAGTGCCTTCCTCAACCACTGGCATCAGTGGGGCCGCATGACCTGCTTCCCTAATGAAATGTGACATCTGCTCCTTCCCATGGAAGCTGCCAAGGCTCCTTGTCCTGTCCTAGGTGACAGTGACGTTCCAGGTAAGAGTGGGACCTTCAGGTTGGGTGTCAGGATGAAGGCCGCATGGAGCAGGGCTGATCCCAGCTAGTCATGTTCCCATGAGGGGACAAGAGATCCTGCTTGGCTGAGTTAAGCCCGTGGCCCCTGGGGTTGTGTGTTGGTGAAACTTAATCCCCTCTGAGCCAGCTGATGTGGTTCAGGAGTGGATTTGGAAGAGACATCAGTAGCCTGGGCTCCACGCTGGTGTCCAGCCAGCCCCGCCTTCCCGACCTGAAGCTGATGGTCTCCACCCCCTCGAGGGCTGCCCCCAGGTTGGGCCTCCTACCCTGTGTACCCCATGCCCCGCTGGGGAAGCTTCACAATGAACCCCACTCACTGGTGCCTTCTCCACACCCTCGGGGTTCAGTCAACAAGATGAGCATCTGCTCATCTCCCTGTGAGCCAAGTCAACCCTTTCTTCGGGTGCCAGTGACAGACTCATCCACCCGTTTCCTTCCTGTCCCCTCTTTTAATGTCCTAGCGCCATCATAAAAACCTGCAAAGTTGGGCATCCTCTCCTGCTCACTTCCCAAGGTCCAGAGCCTTCTGGAAAATGAGGAATGAGGGGGATTTTCGTTAAGTCTCTTCCCAAGATAGTTGCCATGTCCCAGTTCCTCTTCCCAGCTCCCCCAGCCACAGGTCATCCTCCCCAGGCTGCCGACCGTGGGGACAGGCCTCCCACCACTCCTCAACATTCCTACAGCCAGAACCAGACACAATGGAGGTTTGGCGGAAGTGGAACAGGGTTGCAACCCAAGACAGAAACCTGGGATACTGGTCCAGCTCACAGTTTAGAGAAAGTGAAAGGACTCGGCTGGGCACCGTGGGCCTCAGAGCTCCAGCCTAGACACGACTTCCCAAATGCATGTGCCCACTTGTACTCTCCTCTCTTGTCCCTAACTTCATGTCCCAAACCTCCCAGTCCAACCCCAGCAGTGCCAAGAAACTGTTTTCAAATTGAGTCCCTTGATTGTGCAATGCAAATTGACCTCTCTTTCTCTCCATCCTTCCACATCTAAGTAGAAGAGGCAAATCTATCAAGAGGATCGCTGAGGCAAGTTCTTCTCCCACTTGGGCCGGGTCAGATCCTCAGGTGGTAGCCTTCTGTCTGCATAGGGAGTTTGTCATTGGCTCAGGGCAAGCCAAGGGGCCACCATTCCTCTCTGGGGTACACAGTCCATTTTCACAGGCAGCTGAGACCTGGCGTCTTCTCTTGCCGACTGGCCCTGGGCTGCAGTATGATTGCCCTGTGAGTCATGCTGTGGGTGGCAGGCTCAGCTTCTCCCACCTGATTCTGCACCAGACCTTTGTCCCTGCACTCGGCTGGGGTGCCCAGCTGTGTGCGGCCTCCCCCAGGGAGCCACTCCACAGCCGCCAGCCATAACCTCCCCTGAGAAGGGGACATGACTTTGAATCAGGGTCCCCCACCCCATCGTGTGCCATGTGAAAGTTTTAATGGGTGGGGGGAGATGTCAGGGCAGGGGAGTGTGAGTGCTTTCAAGAAACTTATCATAATTTTAATCAGCATTTTCCCTTCCATTTAAAATCACAAACTTAGCTACTTAATCAAATGTCATGGTTAAGACACATTTACCTCCTTGGGAGAGAAATGAACAATGGCAGCTCAATTTGGCTTTGGATGGATTTTAAAAATAGTCGAGTCTGTGAAGGCCATTAGATAAATGGCCTAGGAGAGCTGCAGAGAGGGCCTCCCGCAGGGCGCTGCCCAGCCTTTGTTGGGAAAATAGAGAAAAGGACCAGGTGAGGACGCTGCAAGGCTTGGTGCCTCTGGTGGTTCCAGGAAGCTGGGGTTTCCTAGTGGGGACAGTGGGCCAGAATGGCCAGAGGACCAGAATGTGCTGCGGTAGGTGTATCAGAAAAGGTTCCTTTTGTACACACTGAGCCTGCTGTGTGTGTGTTGGGGGTGACACATGCCCACCCTCCCAGTCCCAAGGAGAAAACAGTAATAGGTCAGAAGTGTTAATACCATCCAAGTACCGAAACCCATTACACAAATGGCGAAAGATTAAGTAGGGGGTTTATTGTTTCATGGTCCATAAAAAATGACAATGATTTCTTTCTTCAAGAGATAAAATGAAAACAAATGAAATAAGAATAGATGGTCTCCTTGGAGAGAGTTGGGCTTGAGTCACCCCAGGAAGAAATCAGAGTACCATAATTCCCAGCCTGGGTGGGGACAGAGGGGGCATGGGGGGGGGGTCTTCAGGCCCCGAGTCTCGCTCCTGTCACAGTTTTCAGAGAACGCTTCCAGCTACTGTCTTCTTAGCATAGGCAACCCTAGGACAGGTGAATAAAGTTCAAGGGCTCTTTAAACTTGGATGCGGAAGACTTGGCACCTTCATTTTTCTAACCCTAACGGGAACTCAGAGTTTCCCTTCATTACAAATGCGGGTACGAGGACACAGCGGAAGGAGGGCACCTGTGATCGTCAAACATAACACAGGCCTGGGTTGCGGGTATTTCAAAATATTCTTGCTGCATATGTATCTCGATGTGAGAAGGGTGGCAGTCTGGGACTTGCCTGCCGATTGCTGGCTTAGCGCATGACTACAGAAGAGCGTGTGCTGTCGTGTTACACATTGTCCCAGCACTCTTTGATAATGCATTTCCACACAGTCAGTTTCCTAATGATCCTGTGCTTTGTAGTCTGTGCACTTGAAAACGTCCTGAGAGGGGTCAGCTGGTTTCCACAAGGCTGCGGAAGGGGTTCCTGGAGGAGACGGTGTCAAAGCCCGCCAGGTCACCCGCGCCGCCTCCCGCGGGCCAGGCCGGCCCTCCCCGGCAGCGCTCCCACCTCGGCCCGCTAGGTGGCAGCAGAGCGGGCCGTCCCTGCCGGCCGCCCAGGGCCCAGCTGCGGTTCCCGGAACTGGACCTCCCGGTCCCCTCTTGGTGGGCTTGGCCCCTCGCACCCTCCAGGGAGAGGGCTCTGGCCAGGCAGGCAAAGTGCTGACTCACCCTGCTGCCCCTCTGGAGCCCTGAACGGTCGTGACAGGTCCACTGTGACCAATTACTCCTCGAAAACCCCTCCGCGTGGGAGGAACTATGAGACCCATCTCTCAGATGAAAAGACCGTGGGTCAGAGAGGTTAGCACGGCCAGGACCTCGCCTGGGTAAGCAGCGGCCCGTGGTCTGCCCACGTCACGGCTGCCGCCCCTGCGTCTTGGGGAGCAGGTGTCTGCGCGCTCCCGTCTGGGCACAGAGGGATTCCACGGCCGGCTCTTCCGGAACGTCCACACACAACCAGGGAGGACAGGCCCGCGTGGGCCACCTGGCTGTGCCCCGCCTCAAAGCTGCCGCTCACAGGGAGCCCTCACTGCTCTCCCCTGGGCTGGGGTGACTCCAGCTGACCTGGGGGGAAGCACCTGTACAGGGCAGGGTCTGGGAGAGGCTTTTCCCTCCGCCCCTCCCGTTTTTACCCCTAGGGCGCCCCAGCCTGATTCTCGAGGCCCGGAGTTTGCACTTCCCTCAGCCACGTGGAGGCCTGAGAGCAGGGCTTTGTCCGGGTTTCTGAGGAGTCCTGCTGTCCTGAGGTTCTGACTGTGCCCTGTTCTCAGTGAAAGGGTCCCCAGGGAGCGCCCAGGCTCCTTTACTCACTATCTGGCAAATGTAGCCTAAGCGGGGTCAGGGAGGAAGGCCGCGTGCGGGGAGGGGGCGGGGTGAGTCTGGGAGGCCCAGGTTCCCTGGAACTTTCTAGTGACTCCTCCCGAGCAAGGGCCTGTCCAAGTAGCAGCTGGGGCTGGGCGAGAAGGGCCGCTGGACGAGCAGCCCTGCACGGTCGGATAACTCGGATACGGGGTGGGCTGTGTTGGGGGCAGAAGCGCTGAAGCTCAAGCTGAGAACGCAGCGACCTCTCCTCTCCCTGCCTAGGCCCGGGACAGGGACCCACGCAGCGGGCAGAGCAAGAGTCCCCACAGACGACCTCGGATAGACGCGCAGCTCTGCCGAGGAAACTTTCTGCGTGGCCCCTGCTTCACGCGGCCCGCCCCAGACCTTCCTCAGGAACGTCACCTCCCCAAACCCTCTCGCCCGGCGCACCCATAACCGGGTCTGAACCTCGACCTGCTTCGCAAGCCAGCCGGTTTCCCTGGCAACACCATCCGCGGTGCTCCGCGGTCCAATCGGAGCTTGCGGCCTCTCTAGTGCCGTTCGCAAGGTGGGGACCGGACGAGGCCAGGGATGAGGAAGGGGCGTACGGAGTCCCACCAGCGGTGTCTCCCAGGCCACGCACAGTCTCCTGCGGCGAGCCGGGCCGCGGAGAGGTGGGGCAGCCAGCGGGAGCCAGGGCTGGGCTAGGGGCTCAGGCTCCCGTTCGAGGGGCGGGGAAGGCGGGTGACGTGAGCCGGGCCAGGCGGGCGGAGTTGGGACCGGCTCAGGGAGGCGGGGGCGAGCGCGCGGAGAGGCAGACGCGAGGAGGGAGGCGGCTGAGCAGCGCGGGCGGCTTTGCGGCGGGCGCGGTGGGCGCGGGCGGCGGGGCCCCGGGATCCCCGCGCGCCTCCTCGGCGCGGCGCCGCCGCCGCGCGTCCCCACGCCCCGCGCTCCACGGCGCCCTCGCCCCACGCGTCTCCCGTGCCCGCCTCCCCCCAGTCTCCTGGCCGCAGCCGTCTGCGGAGCGAGCGCTCAGACGGAGCCCCCGGGCAACTTGAGCGGCGCAGATCCACGGCAGAGCCCACTGACCCGGCGCGCAACGAAGGGACTCGTATCAGCTCGCGTCGCGTTCGCCCAAAGCCCCGGGCAGCGCCGCCCCCTCGGCGCGGAGCTTCGGCTGGGGGCAAGAACCGCGCGCCGCTAGACACGCACCGTGCGCGGCAGCGCCGCCAGCCTTCCTCCTCGCTGCCCCGGAGGGCGAAGCCCCGGCTCCTCAGACCCTTGCTGCGCCGCAACAGCGCCGGAATACGCCCCGCCTCGCCGCCGCGTTCGCTGTGTCGCCCCCGGAGGAGGCCGCGAGCCCCGTGCCCCGGCCGGAGGATGTGCGCCCCCGCGGGCCGCCCCGCCTGAGCCATGCGCCCCAACGGCGGCGGCGCGCCGGCCGGCATGGAGCCCCGCGCGGCCGCGCTCTGACTCGCTGTGCGCCCCGCGGCCGGCGGGCGGCGGGCGGCGGCGGACCGAGAGCCGGAGACCGGCGCCGCGGGACGGAAGCGAGCGGGCGCGGGCGCCGCGCAGATGGCCGGGGCGAGCCAGGTCTGAGGCCCCGCTCCCCGAAACGTGACCATGTGGATTCAACAGCTTTTAGGACTCAGGTGAGCAACCCGGCCGGTGCCGGTGTGTGTGGGTGAGTGGGTGCCAGGCTGCGCTGAAGCGGCGCTTTCCTCAGCGTGGCAAATAAAGGGACCCCCTCCTCACTTCCCGCGAGCGGCCAGCTGGGTACTCCGGGAGCCGGGTCGGGGCGCCAGCCGGGAGCCCGGAGTGCAGAGCTCTGCAGCCCTTCAGGGAGCGTTCGGTTCTCCCCGGCTCGGCGCGTCTGAGGTCCAAGCAGCGGCGCCCGCCCCAGAAACCAAGGCAATGGGGCCGGCCGGGCGCGCCCGCAGCTCCGGGCGCCAGCAGCGCAGTGTCCTGGCCGGTCGCCCCGGCGCGCCTCCTCCCCGGGGCCCGGAGCGAGGCATGGGCGGTTGGGCGCGGCGGGCGCGGGGGCCGGGGCTGCAGGGGAAAGCTAAAGCTCCCGGCTCCTAGCGAAATCAGTGCAGGCTGAGTTAAAGGAAACCAGAGCCAAACAGTCACTCCGCCTGCCCTTCCTCTTTCTCGGGGACCCCAGGCTCCCAGCTGCCGATCCAGCTGTTTGCGGGTGACCTCCGGGCCGGCGGGCCAACACAGCTGGCGGACAGCTGGGGCTGGAGCGCTGGGGCTCTGGGGGAGCGCCGCCAGACACCCCCTAGCAGACACACGCACACACACACACACACACATGCACGCGCGCGCGCACACGCGGGCGCGCCCCTGAGCTTGTCTGTGTCGCGAACTTAAGGGCCAAAGGGATCAGGGCCCGGAGCCCTTGCTGGAGGTTTCCAGAAAGACCCTCTGGGCAAACTTCGCTAAGCGCGCGGGCTTCTCCAGCCCCTTCTTTGGGTAGACTAGGGCCAACCAGAGCACAGTTCTTTTTTGAGGGGCGGGTTGCCTCAGAGCCGTCGCCCTATTTGCCAGGGGTCTCCACGGAGCTGGTGCGTTTGGGTCCCGGGTTAGAACCGAGAGCCGAGCCGAGAGGACGTAGGTGGGAGGTAGAGACAGCGGCGTGCGGTTCTCGAGTTTGACCACTGGGATGCACTGCGCGCCCGCGCTGGGGAGCCAGAGGCGCTGGTAGTTGCTAGAGCAAGCTGCCTTAGCCGCCCCCTCCCCGGGATACAGCGTGTGGGGGGCAAGGGGGGAGGCAAGGGAGGGTGAAGTACGCGCGTGTCCTGATTTTGAGAAATCAGGGAGGGACAGGGAACGATAAGTGTTTTCTAGCTACCTTTGAGTTATGAGCTGATACCGCACCCAGGGGCCAATACCATTTCGCACATCTAGGGGAAATTTTCAAAGGTTGTTCTTGGCATTTCTTTCCCACTGGTCTGTCTTGTTTGCCGCTGGGAAGAGGTTAATCATGGAGCCGGCTGTGTGGAGCGAGGGGTATTGGCGGGGCTTGCCTTGATGTGCTGGCGGCTTGGGCTAGATAAGGTTTGGGCTTGGGCGGTTCTGGGATATAGGCAGCATTGAGCGCGGACAGCCTTGCTGGGATGACCGGGACCCAGGTTCCTTGGGGTTGCTGCCCACCGTTTTGCCCTGGACTGTCCCATCTCACAAGACGTTCATGGCCTGTGAATGACCACATGGGTCCCCACCCCGGGCAGCATTTCGCCTTGTCCTCCGAGATGCCTCCTGAGCTGCCATCTGCCACTTGACTCCTGATGGCAACTTATTTAAACAGACTTTTTTTTTTTAATTGCTAAGTTGCTAGGTTAAAAGATTAGAGCATTTTGATAAAGGGAAGGAGAGCAAATGTCATGGGAGGAAACCTCTCTTTTGGTCCAAAATTCACTAAACTAGTTCCTCTAAAGCATCCTTAAGTAAAATCTTGGATTCTTCTTTAAGAGATGGCTCTGTTGGTGATTTTGAAGATTGACCTTTTGTTTTCTCCCTTTGATGTTAGCAGAGGAGATTTTTCTGTGTGTGTTTAAGTACCAGCTGTCATCCATTTAGGAAGAACTCTGTCAGTGCTGTCTCCTGCCCAAAAGAAACAGGACCGTGCCCAGAGGGTCTGGGTGGTTTTGCTTCACAAGGGGGAAGGTGGAGACTGAGAGCCTGGGGTTGCTCGCTCGATATCTGGAAATGCACCTTTCCCTTCAAGAGGACTCTCACCTGTGCTTGTAGGCACTCTCAGATGAGCACAAGGCATCTTGCTGCCAGGCTCAGAGCCTGGTCTGGACAGGTAGACACCCAGCCTCCAGCCCAGGTGGCAGAAGGCTGCCGGCCCCTGCTCTGCTAGGGAAGAAGCTCAGTGTCAGAGAGGGAGGGGCTGCTTAGCTCTGGATCTGGAGACAAAGTCCCGGCTTGGCTATTTGCTTCTGCGTTGCAATTGAGTCTTTTCATTTTAAGAGGGAGAAACAGATTGAGTTTTATTAGCTGCTTTTATGTCTTTTTTGGTGGTAGTTCTATCAAAGCTCTAAAGAGACTTTCTATCAGCTCCAAGGAAGGTGGCCCTTGAAGGAGACCCAGCGGCTTGCTCGGCTGTGTCCAAGCTCACCCTCTACTGAGGGGACGCTTGCTCACCAAGCCTCTGCGTGAGTTGAGTTTAGCCGCTTGGTATGAGTTGCCTCTGAGGCTGGGGGCAGTGGCTGGCTCCCAGGCTGAAAGCCTCCATCCAAGGCATTTGCTAGGCAGCCCTCAGGACTGCTACGCAATCCCTTGTTTGCCACCATGGCCTCATTCCTAGGCCCTGTACCTCGGGTCATTCTGTCTGCTCCCCACTCTAAGGTTCCTCTGTCCCTCTGTGAGGGAGGCCCTGGCTGTGCGTGAGGACATAATTCATAGCTTCCCAAGCCCTCTTGTGTGCATTGAGCCGTGTCTGGGCCTCGTGGCAGAGATCTATTGGGTTGGCTGCCACTGTCCCCACTGTGAATTCCCCAGCAGCTGGGGCTGTGAAGCTGAGCTGAGTGGCTGAAGTCAAAGGCTCTATCCATAGACACCGCTCTCCCCCTGAATCCCAGCTCCTGCCGGTTTCCAGCTGCTGCTGCTAAATTGATTGCAACTGGAGCCCATCTAGTGTCAGCGGCCCTGGTACTCATCAGGGGAAATAATGCTGGAATAAATCACAAATTTAAGAAGCAGCTCAAATCCTTGGACAACACTGGTCCATCCTGCCGAGTTCCTACTCACCCCACCTTGGGGATCTGTGTCTGAGCAGAGGAGGGGGTAGCAGGCTCCTCCCAGTCTGGTCCTGCTGTTTGTTTATTTTAATCACCTGCTGCCTGTTCTTCTGTGCATCGGAGTGGGGAGCAGGGCACAGCAGCCAAGGGACTGAGAGAGCTCCACGCCTCCCTGAGCGTCTGTCTCTGGGTCTCTGGAGACAGAATAGCTTGCTGCCTTCAGCACACGCACCTGCATCTTTTAGCAGGGTGGCTGGAGGGAGGGCTGTCCACATCCCAGCCTCATCCTCCCAGCCCCTCTGACCCAGCACATAAAGGCCTCTGGCAAGTGTGGTTCTGTGTCTGCCCTGGCCCTGAATTTCCCTGGGCTTTTTGTGGGAAAACCACGGGGTATGGGTAGTGTGACCCTGGGTCATGACAAAGTGGGTAAACATAAAACTCGACCCGACCCACAAAGAGCTGAGCCTGCCAGAGCCCAGGAGCCCCTCTCTGGGGTTATGTAAGAGTCATCTGTCTCAAATACGTACTTGCCAAGTTTTCTTCAAAGGGTTACAAGTCAGTAGAGACCAAACTGATGTAAAGATTAGCTGGGAAAGCCAAATATATCCTTGATCTAGATTTTATGTTTGAAGTGTGGCTTGAGAGGGTTTCTCCTGCCTGATGCTATCCAGGCCCAAGGAGGAAGCCAGGCCAGGGGCTTTCTGGGGCTAGAGCAAACAATGGAGGTGTAGGGTCCACGCTTTCTTTCTCCACGACCCCCTTCCAGGAATTCAAAGGGGCTGGTGAGTCACGAGGCCGCTGAGTGGGGAGGGGTGGTTACATAACTCAGATTAACTCTCAGTTAATCTGCCTTGAAGAGCGAGTCAGGCAGAAGTGTGTCCATGCCAGAGCTCTGGAGGCTCTTGGGGCTGCCCCTGGTCCCCCTAGCCTATTAGCCTCAGGGCTGGGATGAGAGCTGGTGCCAGGAGGACTCACTGCCCCGGGGCCCTCACTGGGGCAGCTCTCTGTCCTCAGCAGTTAGCAACTGAGAGTGGCTTCTTCCATGCTGGGTCCCTGAGGCCCTTTCTGGAGGTGGTAAGGACTGTCTCCTGCTGCTGTCTGGGACAGTGCAGCAGCTGTCGGATCATCTCCCAGCAGACTCCAGAGCAAGCTGGGTGCAGGGAGGCCGGGTACAGGGAGGCTGTGCTGAGCTTCTGCTTTGAGTCTCCTTGCTAAGGGCCCTGGGGGCGGGGGATGGCAAGAGGCCAGAGACCCACTGTGTGTCTATGAAGTCTCCAGAGTGGATAAATATCTCTAATGTGACTACAAGAGACCCAGGGTGAAGGGTGTTGTGTCTCAAGTCACCAGCTCTTGTCCTAGCCCTGAGGTTCTGTTTGCAAGGGACAATTTCCTGGGGCTGGGCCCTGGGGGACCAGGTGGGTGGACCTTGGGCCTACACCTTCATTTGCACCCATGTGCACTCGGGAAAGGGGTGCTACTTATTTCTTTATCCACTTCCCTTCCCCCAAACAGCAAAGGTGGTGGCAGCAGTGCTGGGTTGACCTGGGCTGCAGGCCACGTGCCTCAGCCTTCCAGCATCTCCCCGACTATTCTTGCTCTGTCTGCTCACCTGATTTCTGCTGGGCATTGCCCTTTCTCCCAGGTGCCTAGCCAAGGGGAGCTGGCATAGCTGGGTCTGGTCCTCTCTGCCAGCCCCTCCCCCCCCCCGTGGGCAGTTACCTGGGAAGTGCCAGGCCTGTCCACCCTGGGGGTGGTATTACACTGCTCCTTAGGCCTGTGTGCCTACAGCCTCAGGGTTGCTGGGAAGGGGAGCAGCTGCGACATGTATCTGGCCTGGCAGCACAGAGGTGTGCTGGCCGGGAGGGTCCTGGGATGTGCCTACAGGTCCTGTCTCACACTGGAGA